CAGCAATCCCTCCCTCCCCCTCCCCCTCCGTCCTCGACTCCGCCGCCGCCGCAGCGAATCCGGCCGCCTCCCCCTCCCCTCCCAAAACCCTAGCCAGCCCCGCCCGAATCCGGTCCCAATCCAGCGCCCACCCTCCCGGGCCGCGGCGCATTGCTCCAGGTAAAAATCCCCGCGATTCCCCGTCGATTCGGCTCCGCTCCCATCCCCCGGCCCCGGGCGGCCGCGTTGGTTCCCCGGCGGCCGTGCTGCCCGTTTTTTACTCGGGGGCGGAATCCGCGGGTAGGTTTCGGTGCTCTGAGTTCCGGATGATACGATACGGTAGCAGTGTCTGTTTTTTGCGGATTATATTATATATACTGCAGCCGTTCTCTATCGGCGGCTGCCACCGTTGCTGTTTATAGGGCTGCGGATAACTAGGTTATTTCTTTTTTGTTGCTGTTGTCTGGCACTCGCTGGTTGATTCCCTGCGGTGCCGGATCGACGGCACCCCGCTGCAGCTGCAAATAAAAACTCGGATCTTCCTCTGTTTCTGGTACCAGGTTTGACCTTGTCACGCCCCAAGATCGCATCTACAGTGGGAAGAACATCATCGTCAGAGATTAATTAACCCAGGTCGCTGTCTGGCTGCGCGGTTAGTCAGTAACTTGGTTGGTTATTACTGCCCCATTGGAGCCAAGGCTGCTGCTCTTGGCCTCCCCGCCAGCGGCGTGGGGTTTATAAGCGCGCTGGTGCGATGGCAACGGCCACAATGGCGACGGCTGCCGGCGCCGCCGCGCTGCTCTACTACACGCTGAACCGCCGGCTGCACACGGAGAAGCTGGACAGGGAAGGGGACTCGGATGGCGAGAATGGCAGGGATGCGGCGGCGGGCGGCGCGCTCGAGTCCCATAGCATGAGCCGGGTGTCGCGGAGGGACGTGCGCGCCCCCGCCACCTGGCTGGAAACCATCTCGACTCTGTCGGAGACGCTGCGCTTCACGTACTCTGAGACCCTTGGGAAGTGGCCCATTGGGGACCTTGCTTTCGGGATCAGCTTCCTCCTCAAGAGACAGGTTGGTCGCTCTCGCTCATACTTTGCTGTTGATGTGATCCGTTGCTCCTTCTTAACTCTGATACTTGAAATGTTGGAAGCCGATAGGGAGTGTTTTAAATCATAAACATCGCCGGAGGTCTTTCCATCTGGTTTGATTTAGTCTTGGGTTGTCATGTAGGAATTGAAACAATCTTGAAAACATAGGCATCACACTCCTTAATATCTATCATCTGTTCTTATCGCTTCTTTTCTTATTTTATTTATTATCAAAAGTTGTCTTAGTCTTACCATATAGTTGTTCTGATGACCTAAACAGCTCTCGGATTCATTTACATAATCTCGTTTATCAATATTTGATTGTCTACAATATATCTGATGAAACTGCATGAATGATCTTCATTATTTCTAGTACATACAAACTGAGCATCTGTAAAGTGAACCATTCATTTAGATTATCACACTTACCATTTCACTCTATGGAATTCACCCTGTTTTATTCCAATAGATTACTGCCTACATTGCTTTCTATGCTCAAGTTGGGCTAGTTCCGCACTTCTTAACAGATAAACTCATAGGCCAGAATCATAGGACAAATACTTTGAACTGTTAATGACTTGAACAAAGTTCCTGACAGGTGAGTTGTTGCATGTGTGTTTCAGGGAAACTTATCTGTAGCAAGCATATATGCTGGAGATGATAGTGTGGAGCTCAAAGGAGCTTCAGTAGTTACGGACTTGAAGTATCTTTTGAATTTGTTGACACTGTGTTGGCATTTTTCCAAAAAGCCATTCCCGTTATTTTTGGAAGCTACTGGCTACTCCATGGAGGATGTTCTCATGCAAGAACCTAAAGCAGGAGTAAGTGAAATTTTTATAGTATCATTTTTACTTTTCGCAATCCTGTAATTATTCACAAGAACTGTTTACTGTTGACTGATTCAGGATTTTTGTCGTGATACCTGCAGATTTTGAAGCCAGCTTTCACCATTTTACTTGATAGAGACAGACAATGTATACTTCTACTAATTAGAGGCACCCATAGTATCAGGGATACCCTGACAGCTGCTACGGGTGCTGTGGTTCCATTCCACCATACAATAGTCAAAGAAGGTGGTGTTAGTGATCTAGTTTTAGGGTATGCACATTTTGGGATGGTTGCAGCGGCTAGATGGATTGCAAAGCTTGCAACTCCTTGTCTCACTGAAGCATTACGTTTGTATCCAGATTATAAAATAAAGGTACGGCACAAGTGTACAGTTACAGTATTTTTGTTTCGTACCTCCTTTTCCCTGTATTCTTTGCTAGTAGTGTTGTGTTGTTTTATATGGTTCTTGGAGCATTTTAATTGATGGTGTCTCTGGCAAATATTCATTAGGTTGTTGGACATTCACTTGGAGGTGGTACAGCAGCTCTCTTGACATATGTCCTGAGGGAACAGCAGGAGTTTGCCTCTGCTACTTGCGTGTCATTTGCTCCAGGTTCTCATATTATGATGTTTTTCTATCTGAAGATCAGATCATGTGTTTGTTTCATTAGCCGAGCATTTCGTTGGTCAAGCATTACTTTGGGTTCTCCAGTGTACTTGTAATCTTTTATTATTAGGTCCTTTTTTAGTCTATCGGTTGGGTCATGGATTAAATGAGCATCCAAACATTACCACTCCTCGACCTTTTAGATGGAAATATGATGTTGTCAAAATTAATTTGTTGATCATAAAATAGGAACAGCCATAATTTCAAGCTATCCTAAAAATGGTACTGTCAGACTAGTATCTCAGGTAAATGGTACTGTCAGACTAGTATCTCAGGTACACTATTTGTCTGAGAATTGAGTTCTCCCCTAGCTTATGCACGAACCATAGTTTAAATAAGTGATGCTCTCCCAGAAATACTCTCTCCTAGATCTCAGGCCTCCGATATAAATACCTAGTGCATACTTGGATATTCAGATCTAAGAACATCGCTTATTTTTCTCCTTATTCCTAACAAAAAGTCGACCACTTCTCCAGTCCTTTCACAAGATTGCAATTGTTGTCCTCAGAATATAGTTGTGATTTAGCCCCTTGTGGGATGTTCTATTTTGCAGCTGCTTGTATGACATGGGAGCTGGCTGAGTCGGGAGTACATTTTATCACTACAGTCATCAATGGAGCTGATTTGGTGCCAACATTTTCGGCAGCGGCAGTAGATGATCTTCGTTCAGAGGTATCTTATTTACCCTTCCATGTTAGTAATGCCATAACTGTTAATTCAATACGTATTAACTTATTTGCACTAGTAAGATCTTTATAACTGGCAGCGGGTTTATCTGTGAAAACAAGGACACATCAGCACATGATAGCAGTGCAGCTGATGGTAGTGTAAAAAATTAGCAATATATAGTATGATGATTACTTTATATTATATGTTCTTGTATTGAAATTAAGTTCCATGTGCAACAGGTGACGGCATCTGCCTGGCTGAATGATCTCCGTCACCAAATCGAGCAAACTAGAATCCTGAGCACTTTCTATCGATCTGCATCTGCCTTGGGATCGCGACTTCCTTCTATGGCAAATGCTAAAGCTAGAGTAGCTGGTGCTGGTGCCATCCTAAGACCTGTATCTAATGGGACACAGGTTTTGTACCTTTCATCTTTTGTTTGACCCCCTTACAACACAGCTTTGATTGCTATTCATAATAAATCCATTGGCATTTTCCATGACTAGCAATGTTGGCAATGTATTCGTGTGTCCAGGTTGTAATGAGGAGAGCTCGCAGTGTAGCACAAGCAGCGTGGACAAGACCGGGGCTACAACTATCCTCATGGGCTTGTATTGGGCCAAGGCGACGGAATACTACCTCAATTGTCACATCAGAAGAAATAACAACTTCCACTACCAACGGTGGCTCTGAATCCACTTCACTATTGACTGAGACCACGATGGAAACCAGAGAGATAGTTACATCTGAAACCACGCAGTATGCTGCATCAGAAGAGGTCCAGAGCACCATCTTGGCATCCGATGCTGTTGGTACTTTGGATGACAAGGTAGATAGTGACGGTGAAGACATCATCGATCATCACGTGGATGAGGACAGGATCACCGAAGTGGAGCTGTGGCAACAACTTGAAAACGAGCTGTACCGGAAAAGGGAAGGGGAGAACAACATAGTGGAAGAGATGACTGAAAGTAACATCGCCGAGGAAGTTGGCGGCAGAGCTCAAGATGTCCTCAGTGAACCCAACGAGAAGGAGGTCCACAGATTCTACCCGCCCGGGAAAATCATGCATGTAATAACCTCCACAAGAGAAGCAGTCATAGACGACGATGACGAGACCAGTGTTCACGAGGATGAAGAGCCCGACCTTCACCAAGTTGATGCTACCGGGGAGTCGGAGACAAGCATAGGAATCTTCTTGACACCAAGATCTCTGTACGGCAAGCTGAGGCTGTCGAAGATGATGATCAACGATCATTACATGCCGATGTACAGAAGAAACATCGAGCAGTTGGTTGCGGAGCTTGAGAAGGACCTGGCTTTGTAGGTGGTAGCCCTGAACAATACAATACAGCTTGCTGGTCCAAACCAGATACTCACAGTTAGCTTCAACTGTTGTAAAAGCTGATGACATACGTAGGGTGTTAGTTCCATAAAGTGTACCTAACATGACTGGAACTATATCAGAACGCTTGTCACAACTTTTCTCAGAAATATCTGTTACAACTCTTCTCACAGGTTCTCATGTCCTCCTTTTAAGAGTAAATCTTTCACAGAGATACGTAGGGTATTAGTTGCAAAATATTCCTATGTTCTCCTTTTAAGAGGAAATCAGAAGCAGCAGTGTCTGATTACTGTATCAGCAAAAGTTCTTGTTACATTCCTGCTGTGAAATTTTGGTTCTCATGTTCTCCTTCCAGGAGAGGAAATCTTTTACTGAGAAGCAGCAGTGTTTGAGTACTGTATCAGCAAAAATTCTAGTCACATTCCTACTGTGAAATTTTGATTCCCATGTTCTCCTTTTAAGAGAGGAAATCTTTCACTGAGAAGCAGCAGTGTTTGAGTACTGTATCACAAAAAATGTTGTCACATTCCTACTGTGAAATTTTGGGAGGAAATCAACATATAAAACAGAGAAGTAGTCACTCCTAGTTTCATCTTCTTTGATGTTCCTGTCGTTCCTTCCTTGCTGATCACAGGGCCAGCCTTTCTAGGAATGCCGCGAGGCTGGCTCTCTGCCCTAGAAGAGCCGGTTGCGTGACCCCTTCCCTTCTGGCTCATGAATTCTCTGAATGATGGTATCTTGGGAAGGTCCATGGTACTGATCGCGCGATCTCTTGCTTCTTCGTCTATGGATTTCTCAGATGGTGACATCTTGGAAGGCTCCATGTTTTCAGTTGAAGCCATGGTCTTTGCAAACTCATCAGAAGGCTCGGTTTTCGCGTGCTCGTGGCTTGTAGTAGCTTCTGCTGGCTTTTCAGCTTTGCCCAAAGCATCAGAAATGTTGCAAGGAGAGCTGGTGGCTGCACCAGCTTCTGTAGTCTGGTTGGTAAGGGTTTCAAGTCGGTCGTGAATTTGGTCAGAAGTTGAAGACCACAGCCACCGAACCGTGGCAGCTATCTGGGAGTTGTAGAACGTCTTTCCCACTTTCTGATACTTCTTGAAGCACTCTGTTTCAAGGTGTGCGGCAGAAGCCTCTTCAGCAAACCTGAAAGTGTGCTCAATGTAATTAGTGGAAAAGAAATAAAAGACGCATGAAAATGAGGACATGCTTATAGTGCAACATAAACACTGCACAATCACATGGGTAGATTTTGCTATAGATGAGATGCACATCATACTTAAAGAAAAACAGTTACATGGCTTACGCGCTGAATAGATGTGGGAGTTGCATGATGAAACTTGACTGGTAGAAATTTATCACCATATTATGAGGAAATAAGCTTTGAAACGGCAATTGTGAAACTGTATGTAACGGTGCCAAGGTGGAAACGGGAAGACTCACCGCAGATTCCCAAGACGGTGCTTTGCTTGTGCAAGTGCATCCGACAATCTTTTCCTGCTCGCATCTCTTAGAGTCTGAGATATGCTCTTCTTGTCAACAAGGTTGCCACCCTATATATATCACCAGTTCAAGTTTGTGACTAGTTATTACTGTATAATATAAAGCTTGGTCAAGCAGAACTTCTATAAAGAGAAAATATTTTTATCAAATCCACAAACATTTTACCAAATATCAATTCATCCTTATCGTCTAACAAATACTCCTGCAGAGGTATCACCTGCTGTTTTGTTTGACCTTTGGCCTGATTGTAAGCATTTTCAGCATGCTCCAAGGCATCAAGTCTTGCTTCGAACCCTCCTTTTGATGGAAGCTTTGAAATGGCGATATTGCTCACTGCCTCTTCCTCATCTGTGATTCATTATTCCCATCAGATGTTATTGCACTCCACCACATGCAAGTATGACTTTGCATAGTCTTACAGACACAAAGAGGAAAGGAAAGTGATTGTTCATTCTACCATCAGAATCTGATATATCTTCGTTTGATATGCTTACGTCATCTTCACGGTTCCAAAATTCCGTGTCAAAGTGTTTTGGGTCAACTGATGAGCTGTCACACGAACGAGAAGTTTTACTAGACCAATATGGCGCAAGTTAATACAAAAGCACAGAATATGTACAATTCATATCTCATAAGCGAAACTGTGGAAAAGAAACAAAGACTTGCTGCACAGTGAACACAGCATACCTTTTGAAGACTGGAGATATCTTGTTAAAGCGAGAGTTGGGCACACGCCGAAGGTCCTCCAAACGCGAGGACACTTGATTTGGGTGCTTGCAAGCATCACATGTGCGTTGGCATAAAGTTGGTTGTACCTATCCAGTTCAAATATTAACATGCAATAACACAAAGTAGAAAACAGTAACATGTTTGGAGTCAACACCATACCTTTTCTCCAAAGCTCTCAATGATCTTTTTTCGCCGGCAGCTAGAGCTCTCACAATAATCAACTATTTGGTCAGGAGAGGCAAATATAAGAGTGAAATATACTGCCTGTTTTACTATACCAATGTAATGCAATGTTTGGTAATTACCTAACTAAAGTCGGCTAGGGTCTTCTCTGAAAGCTCAGTTGAAGAAGAAGATGGCTGTTGTTTTCTACTGCTGCTGTTTCTCAAAATAAATTCCTGTTAAACCAGAGAAGCCTCAGTTTTGCCTTTCAAAAAAAAAAGGAAGATTATCTGTATCATGTACGCTTATTACCATTCTCCTTCGGTCCTCTAACCCATAATACAAAACACTCCTGGAAGGCTGTTGGTCACGACCAGCACGTCCGGACTCCTGGTAGAAAGATTCCATTGACTTAGGCAAGTTGAAATGGCACACGATGCGGACATCTTGTCTATCAATACCCTGAAGAGATGAATAGCGCCAATATATAAACAAAGCACCTCTGCAGAAAGCGTCATGAAACACAATGCAATTAGAGTATTACATACCATTCTGTGGAGCAGCATATATACACATTAAAATTCGGAAGAGCCCCATATCGAAAAATGCAATACACAAGAAAACAGAGTATGAGTCTAATATTGGTGTAGCAAAAATAAAGTATATACTACAAGTTGGAAGGTATGTAGGTAACTAAGTCGGATGAAGCTGTACTCTACAACTCGTGGACATGGAATCAGGTTGTAAGACAGAAATGATGTTTGCAAAGATGCAGAAAGAAGCTATATACCCAAATGCTACAGTTGCAACAACAACTTGAGTCCTTGATGAAAGCCAGTCATCAAGAACGGTAGTTCGCACTTTACTATTCAGGCCAGCATGATAAGCTGACAAGGAGCAAAAATAAAATCATAAGTATATCTGCACAACAGTCTTAATAGGGGCTTGGGCTTATCATTTTTTTCCTTCAGATTAACGTACCAGCAGAAGAGATGCCCTGCTGTGACAAATGCATAGTCAGATCATCACAGGCAGCACGTTCAAGGCAATATATGATTGAGCAAACATTTCCGCTGGACTTCAGTAAATTCGATATATCAGAATAAACATCATCAAGAAGATCCTTGTAACGAACTGCAAGATAAGTTCATGATTCACAGTCAACACGTCATAGAGTAGAATGTAGGGGCAAAAAAAAAAAAAAAAGGTACAACAGATTTCAGCAGTAAATGAACAACAACAGCCATACATTCTGGCCTCTGGTAACACAGACACTAAAGAACATAAATAGTCCTGAAGCAAGACAATCACAATTTCAAGCAAAAGGGCAAAAGAAAGACCTTAGGAAGTGAAAAGGCAAAGAACAGTGGAGATTCCTAGGAAAACAGAGGCCCTAGTCTTTAAAATGATCAAGGAAGTCGAGAATAATACCTTCATAGAAGATATTAGGTCGATTAAAGGAAGCTTTAAGAATGACTGGGTTTTGCAAGGACAATGATGATATCACATCTTTCTGGACTCTGGTGCAAAAATAATGAAACCCGAACAAATGAGACCAGACTAAATGTTGAACCGGTATGGGCTCTAGCCCATCAAGATCTGTCTCTTGGGCCCAAGCCCATGAGAGGTGCTGACCTAGAAGAGGAGCCCCTCTTCCCCCTGCCCCGGAGTGAGCCGCCAGAGACGAGAGGAACTACTCGTGAGTCACCAGACACCACCTGCCCTCCTCTCTGTAGGTACTCCCCCTCTCATCTCAACATGGTATCAGAGGCCAGCGACGGCGGGGCCTAAGGAGACGGCGGCGACGTCCGGCGAGGTGGCGGCGGATCTGGCGCGCGCGCGGGAGGCTGCGGAGAGCTGCACGCACGAGAGACGCGGGGAGCGGCCCGGCAGAGCTGCGCGGGCGGCTGCTGCTGCTGCTTCTTGGACCGGAGGCAGAGCCCCTGCTCGGGCTCTTCCTCGTCCTCGGGCGGCTGCAGAGGAAGAGGAGCTGCTCGGGGTGGTTGCTGGCGTGCGTGTGCTGAGCGGCAGCAGGCAGAGGAGCAGAGGAGCACCAGTGGAGAGAAGGAGTGCGTGCGTCCTGCGTGCGCTGTGGTGCTGCTGAGCGGAGAGTAGAAAGGGGAGTGATCGAGAGGAGAGGAGCTGCTGCTGGGCGCTGTGGTCCTGGAGGCTGCGTGTTTGCTGCTGCTGACTCTGTTGCTGCTACTGCTGGTGCTGCTGAGGGGGAGAAGGAAGAGGAGGTGCTGGAGTTTATTCCTGCGAGGAGCTGCTGCTGGTTGGAAAGAGAAGAAGAGGTGTTGCTGAGTTTTGCTGTTGCTGCTTATCCCGCCAAACAATGGCTGAACCAACTGGTCTTGCCGAGGCTTTGGAGAAGCTCGCTAAGATCCTCGCGGAGTCCAACTCTGGGGCCATCGTTCCTCGACAGGGAGTGGCTCAAAAGCTTGAAATGTCGCCCCTGGACATGAAGCTAGAGGGGGCAACAAATTATTTGAGCTGGTCCAGAAGGGCTTTGTGGGCTGTGGAGCAGAAGGAGCTTGATGGATATTTGTTGGGCACCGTTGTAGAACCAAGGGACAAGAGTAGTGCAGAGGGCAAGAGGTGGAAGGTCATCCACTCTGTACTTATGGTGTGGTTGTTGAACTCCGTGGTGCCCTCCATTGGACGCTATGTGGAGGAGCTATCCTCACCTGCTGAGATATGGAAGATTCTGTCCACTCAATACTCTGGCAAGGGCAATGTCATGCTCATTGCTCAGATTGAGGACAAGATTAGGTTGCTGCGTCAAGATGATGGCATGTCAGTGATGACATACGTGGCAGAACTGCAGGCTCTGTGGGCTGACCAGGATAACTGTGATCCCTTGGAACTCTATGATGCGGCTTCAATCGAGTCAGGGCATAAGTGGATGGCACGCAGGCGTGTGCTGAAATTTTTGGCTGGCCTCAAAGGTTGCTTTGATGGCAAGAAGGCTTCCCTGTTGCACCAACCTAGTCTGCCTACCATTCCTGAGGCTATTGCAGCGATGATTCAAGAGGAGGTGCGCCTATCCCTTGAGCATGCAGACATGAAGGTTGTGCCAGCTTCGACATTTGCAGTCACTGAGCGCATGGAGTGGGGAGATCCCACCAAATGTCATATCTGTGGGGAGGTAGGTCACTGGAAGAGAGAATGTCCAACTCGTGGCAGAGGCAGGGGATATAACAGAGGGGGAGCAGGCAGAGGTAGAAGTGCTAGAGGCAGAGGTGGATACTCAGAGACCTCATGGAGCCAGGCTTCTAGAGGTAGAGGTGGCTACTCAGGACACTCAGGGGGTCAGAGGGCTCACATGGCCGTTGCAGGAGACACTGGGACATCCAAAGGCAAAGATGTAGATGATGTTGTCTATGGAGACTTTGCTCACTGGGCCTCCACTGATGAAGGTAATCTGGAAAGAGCATCTCTTGCTACTAATGAGAGTGCTCCAAAGTGGGTTCTTGACTCTGGAGCATCTAAGCATGTTGCTAGTAACTCATGTGTGTTCGAATCTTACACTAAGCATCCTCCCTCTCACACGGGCACTATACAAACGGCTGATGGCACAAAACAACCAGTCATAGGGGTTGGTACAGTAAAGTGTACTCCGACCATTTCCCTATCGTCAGTTTTACATGTGCCAGCCTTTCCTGTCAATTTGGTCTCTTTCAGTGCACTCATTGATCAAATGGACTGTCGTGTGATCCTTGACAAGTTCGGTTGCTTGATTCAGGTGCGACAGACGAGCCAGACGGTTGGGACTGGCACCAGGCGTAGGGGGCTCTGGTACATGGACCAGGAGGTGCAGCCGGACTTGGTGTGTGCTGCGACCATGGAGGATAAGGAGAAGCAGGCGATGATCCATCATTGTAGGATGGGGCATGTATCTTTTGATAAGATGAGTAGAATATTTCCGGATGTTATGTGTGGAATAGGCAAAGGCAAGCTGACATGTGATGCTTGTGAATATGCAAAACACACACGGGCCTCATATGTGAGTAAGGGGCTCAGGAGCATATCTCCTTTTATGCTTATTCATTCGGATGTATGGACTAGCCCAGTGGTGTCAATGAATGGGAAGAAGTATTTTGCTACCTTTATTGACTGCTATTCTCGCATGACTTGGATTTACTTGATGCGTCACAAGGATGAGGTGTTTAGCTGTTTTCAAAACTTCCATGCTCTTGTAAAGAACCAGTTTCAGGTACAGGTCAAGGTGCTCAGGACGGACAATGGAACGGAGTATGTGAACAACATTTTTGGGGCTTTCATGGCTGACCATGGGATTCTTCATCAAACTTCATGTCCGGACACCCCCCCTCAGAATGGAGTGGCCGAACGGAAGAATCGTCATGTTCTTGAGGTCGCTCGGTCGTTGATGTTTACCATGAATGTGCCTAAGTTCTTGTAGGATGATGCAGTTATGACAGCCACATACTTGATCAACCGAACACCTTCCAGGATACTTGGCATGAAATCTCCGTCTGAGTTGATCATTGGAGATAATAAGTTTGTTGTTCCCCCAAAGTTGTTTGGCAGTACCTGCTTTGTTCGTGATCACCGACCATCTGTTGGCAAGCTTGATCCTCGGGCAGTGAAGTGTGTCTTTCTGGGATACTCGTCTAGTCAGCAGGGGTATAAATGTTGGTGTCCCTCTGAAAAACGCAGGTTTGTAAGTATGGACGTTACATTCAGGGAGTCTGAGCCATTCTATGGTGAGCCGACTGATCTCAGTCTGTTGTTTGCAGAGCTTGACCACCTACACCCTGTGCATGATGGTCAAGAGGGGGAGAAGAATGTGTCTCATACTCACGGTGATCCTGTGGACATTAACACTGATAATGATGTGCAGGCTCAGGTTCAACCAATAGTGGGTACAATTCCGGTTAGTACCATCACTGATGATGATGTGCGGGCTCATGTCGAGCCAACTGTCGATACACTTAAGATTGGTGCTCTCCAGGTTCCTGTTCGGGATCGATGGCAGACGAATACCCTGGTGTACTCTCGGCGGCAACCACAAGTGCAGGGGGAGCAGCAAGGCAGGGAGGCAAGAGTGCAGGGGGAGCAGCAAGGCAGGGAGGCAAGAGTGCAGGGGGAGCAGCAAGGCAGTGAGGCAAGAGTGCAGGAGGAGCAGCAAGGCAGTGAGGCAAGCTCATCTGACAAAGTGGAGCTGCCCATTGCGTTGCGAAAACCTACACGTGAAGCGGCAAGGAAGGGTGAGGTAGCAAGGAAGGCTCTGCCAAAGGATGATGCTTGTGATGACCTTGATATTGGCAATTTTGTGTCTTACAAGGCTTTGTCACCTTCATATAAGGCGTTTGTTGCCTCTCTGCAAACTGTGTCTATCCCTAGGGATTGGAAGGCTGCAAAGCAAGATCCGAAGTGGCGTGAATCGATGATAGAGGAGTTAGAAGCATTGAAAAAAAACAAGACATGGGTGCTAACCACATTGCCGGCAGGAAAGAAAGCAGTGAGTTGTAAGTGGATTTTTACTGTGAAGCAGAATCCTGAGGGCAAGGTGGAACGGTATAAGGCTAGATTGATTGCCAGAGGATATAGTCAAACTTATGGAATTGACTATGATGAGACATTTGCTCCAGTTGCAAAGATGAACACGGTACGGGTATTGGTCTCGTGTGCTGCAAACTTTGGGTGGAAATTGCACCAGTTAGATGTCAAGAATGCCTTCTTACATGGTGACTTGAAAGAAGAGGTATACATGGAGATACCGCCAGGTTTTGGCACAGAACAGACTACGGGGAAGGTATGCAGGCTGAAGAAATCCTTGTATGGTCTGAAGCAATCGCCGAGGGCATGGTTTGATAGGTTCAGACGAGCTGTTTGGAATATGGGGTATGGCCAATGTAATGGTGACCACACGGTGTTTTATAGACACACTAATAAGAAGATCACCATTGTTGCAGTGTATGTTGATGATATCATCATCACTGGAGATGATGAGGAGGAAATAAAGAGAGTGAAGGGGTGTCTGAGCAAGGAGTTTGAGGTAAAAGACTTAGGAAATCTAAAGTACTTCCTTGGCATAGAAGTGGCCCGGACAGAGAAGGGAATATCTTTGTGCCAACGAAAATACACCTTGGATCTTTTGAGTGACATGGGCATGATGGGATGTCGTGCAGCCCCTACTCCAATTGAACAAAATCATCAAGTAACAGCACAATCAGGTGAGCTAGTGAATAAGGAAGATTATCAGAAGCTGGTTGGGAGGTTATTGTACTTGTGTCATACTAGGCCTGACATTACGTATGCCGTGGGGGTGGTGAGCAGATACATGCATGAACCAAGGAGAGGGCATCTTGATATTGTTCACAGAATCCTGAGATACTTGAAGGGGACTCCGGGTAAAGGGTTGTGGTTTGCGAAGAGTGGACATCTTGAGGTGGATGGCTATAGTGACTCTGATTGGGCTAGCTGTCAAGATGATAGACGATCAACTTCAGGTTACTGTGTGTTTGTGGGAGGAAATTTGGTGTCATGGAGAAGCAAGAAACAGAATGTTGTGTCTAGATCAACAGCAGAAGCTGAATATAGAGCATTATCTCAAGGGTTGTGTGATATGCTCTGGGTGAAGCACCTACTATGCGAGTTGAAACTCTTGAGGAAGGGACCCTTAAGGGTGTGGTGTGACAATCAGTCAGCTATAGCCATTGCTAATAACCCAGTTCAACATGATAGGACGAAGCATGTGGAAATTGATCGCTTCTTCATTAAAGAGAAACTTGATGCTGGGATCATCAGCCTTACTCATGTCAGCTCTGGGCAGCAGTTTGCAGATTGCTTGACAAAGGGACTGGGAACAAAGGACTGTAACTTGGCGTGTGACAAGATGGGGATGATAGATATCTACCACCCATCTTGAGGGGGAGTGTTGAACCGGTATGGGCCCTAGCCCATCAAGATCTGTCTCTTGGGCCCAAGCCCATGAGAGGTGCTGACCTAGAAGAGGAGCCCCTCTTCCCCCTGCCCCGGAGTGAGCCGCCAGAGACGAGAGGAACTACTCGTGAGTCACCAGACACCACCTGCCCTCCTCTCTATAGGTACTCCCCCTCTCATCTCAACACTAGATATAATGATCAAAAGAGAATACACATTACGTGAACTGAACTAAGGGTAACGTGTTACTTTGGGACAGCAGTTGCAGTCAAAGCCAATATCGGGATATCTGGGAACTGCTTCCTCAATGATGAAATCTTGCGGTAGCTAGGTCTGCATTTCATTGAAGCACAGCAGATTAGCTATCCCATGAAAAGGAGGAATGTTGCAACTCATTTTACCAATGAAACTATGAAAATTGGGAACTGCCAACGGAGTAAAGGCAATATTCAGACCAAACACAGAAACCAATGCATACCTGAAATCATGGCCCCAAGTTGAAATACAATGAGCCTGTGGAGAGGGAGAAAAATTGGCAAATAAGCACAAGGCGTTCTTTACAAGAGACCGAAGAACAACAGAATGTTACTAAAAGAGCAAAGGTGTTACTTAGTTTAGACCTCATCAATAGCTACAAGACCAAGAAGACCCCTGTTGTGGAGCTTTGTTAACTTTGCTTTGAAGCCAGATGTTGCAACTAACTCAGGAGTGACATACAGCAATTTTAAAGAAGGATTGCCAGAATCGAGATCTTCATGTATCTGAGGGAAGAGAACATATGCTTAATAAAACTTAAAAGTCAAAAGGAAGAGTAAGCATGCAGAAGATATTCACTCTTTCGATCCTAGACAGTAGACAACATGATCTAGTTCATGAATTCCAATTTTCAGAGAATTAATACGACATGAAATAATTTTGTGCACCACCTTGGCTAGTGTATGAATTTGCTGGGTCAAAATGTCAGTTGGGACAGTTAAAAGAGACACAAAAAACAATGCAAGAACTGAGCATGTCTCATGAGAGCCTTACGTTGCAGTGTGTAAAGACCCTTACCTTGTTTTTGTTAGCAGTTGTTTGTGTCGAAGAGAGAAATTCAGCTGGAATTCCTTTACTTTTCAAGCTGCTAACCTGATTCTCCTGTAAATTCAATATGCAGACCAAACGATGTTCAAAGCTATCCCAAGATTTAAGGATAAGAACAGAGGAAAGGTAGAAGGGGGATAGTAGAACTTACCATTAGCGCTGATCAGCAGATTTTACATACAAGAAATCAAGAAACTGTTAGTATAAATCAAAATGTATGCACATGCATTCTTCCCAAGTAGTAGATTTTCTGAAGGTGTGGAAACTTGACGGGTCGATTCACCTATCAAGGGTGAGATAACAAGAACAACGCCGGTCTTCACTAGAGCAGGGATCTGGTAGCACATTGACTTGCCACCTCCAGTTGGCATCAAACAGAAGCAATCCCTTCCTGCAAATTTGTTGTTTGCCAGATTAAACAAAAGTAAAAATTTGAAGTGCTAATCTCATCGATATTCAGGGGGTTAAACACGAAAACAGAACACGAATCTGGAAACAGGGGCAGAGTGAGGACCTGAAAGAACAGCCTCTATGGCCTCTAGCTGCCTTCCTCGGAACTCCGAGTACCCAAAATACTGCTTCAAGATGCTCTCCAGCTCCTTGGGAGATTTTGTTCCATGCCTCGACCCTCCCGACCCGCCTTTTAGGGGAAGCGCCTTCTTCATTTTCAGCTGTACCACCCAAAAAAGCATCAGACTATCAGTATCAGAGGATCCATGAGTGTGGCCTGATCATTTGGGGCAATGCAACTGTTGTAGCACACTGTGCTTAAACACCCTTTGGCACTATAACACAAATGATGATTTAGATAGTCATGGCAAATTCGTTTGCAGATTCCTCCCATTGTACATCAAACCCAGGGCTGGTTCTCCCGATTGACTGAAAAGTAGATCAGGCGAAACTAAGGCCGACAGCACCCTTCCCTGGCCCTCCTAATCAGCCAGCCCGTGGTGCGCCATTGCCGACCCAATCGAGATACCAATGAAATCGAAACCGAGGTGAACGGGGCAGGAGAGGAACCATGGTCCATAGGCGACGCGGGCGGTTGTACAGGTGTGGCTGGAAGGGGGCGTTCTAGGGCTCGGGAACTGGGGGCGGAGGTGATGGCGGGAGCTGTACCTGCGGTTGGAGCGGAGGCGAGGGGGCGGCGCCGGCGCGGGAAGCGAGCGGCGGCGTGGCGGCGTCCCACCTGGCGACCTATGTGCCTGGGGCCTGGGGCACAGAGCGGCAGCCCGCAGACGGCTTGCGGAGCACACTTCTCTCCCCTCTGCGCCTGCACGCATTCCCCACCGAGCGGACTTTTACTACGGACCGCAACGCAATAGTCGTTTGCTGTGGAAAGGTCCAAAATTAACCTTAAAATTGTAGACGAAAGATTAATCAAACCCTGAACTTTGAATCCTCTAAATCGACACACTGAATTTATAATGCCGGTCTACTTTCGACTCTAGACCTGTTTGGCACACTGAGAATACGACAATCCCGACCGGAATAACCAGCTACTCTCACGGATAAGAATTTGGGCCGGCCCACTATAACACAACAAAAATTCGTGAAGTTTAAAAAATGTTCGCACATTTCTAAAAAATTTCAGAAGTTAAAAAATGTTCCTGTTTTATACTTTTGGCATGAATTCAATTCATTTTGTGTTTTTTAAAATATTTGGAATTCTTAAATTCTATTCGCATTTAAAAAAACTGTTCGTGATTTAAAAAAATCACTTTTGTCAAAAAATGTTCACAATTACAACAGTTTTTCACATGCTATGAAAAAAGTTTCAGATTTTCAGAATTGTGTCACATTGTTTGAATAATGTTTTTGGAATTTCATAAATTATTTCGTCAATAATGCTTTAAAAAATGTCCCGGATTGTTGGCTGCGGACTCGACCGGGCCGGCCCACCAGACATAAAGCGAGTTTTTATTATTATCACGTGTCTTAAAAATTCTTTCTTTCTTTTTCTTAACGTGTGACGTAAATTCTAAAAGAGAAAAACATGCCGTGGAGTCGAACTTGGGACCTATCAGGGTTGACCTGATTTTACTAGCTGCTACACCAGACGACTATGACTTACATAATAAGAGGCCAAAATATTTAATAAAAAACCAAAGCATCGGACTTCGAAAACTTTTTTAAGGGGCAAACAAGTATTGAAAACGTATTTATTTCTGAAATCTTCACACATTTTATAAAGTGCATTTTTGAAAATTCGAAATACTTTTAAAAACCAACAACTTTCAAAAAGAGAACACTTTTTGAACATAAACATTTTTTAACCTGAACAAAATTTTGAAGTGCAAACACATTTTGAAACATATTTTTTTTTCTGAAACCTGAAGAAATTTTTTAAAGTGTGAACACTTTTTGTATAATGTAAAGAAAAATGTTTGATTGTTGTAAAAAAATGTGTCATAACCTTAACAGCATATATGTGACATGTGTCTGAAAAATGTGTATGCAAATTTTAAAATGTTGAACCATGTAAACGAGTGTTCGTGTAGTTTTATAAAATGTTTATTGTCATTAATAAAATGTAAAACATGTATTTGGAAAAATATTACCATGTATTCAAAAAAGTTTTGAAAACATTTAATTTAAAAATGTCCATACTGTATTTGAAAATATCAAAAGTTTATCAGAAATGTAATGTGTGGACTAAAAATGTACATTGGGTACTGAGAAAAATTAGACATATGTAAAAATGAAAAATGAAAAGAAAACGTAAATTTAAAAACAAATTCGTGCGCGCGCGTGAGCGACTGCGCTACTGGGCGGTCCAATTCAGGAAATACGGGCGTAGTCCTATCAAGGTTTAAAATAGACCGGGATTAGAGAGTTTGGTGTACTGAATTTAGGGATTGAGAGTTCAGGGTTTGGTTTAACTTTCGCCTACAAATTTAAGGTTTATTTTAGACTTTTTCCTTTGCTGGGAGGGGTCGTCGTTTGCGAATGTTTTACTTTCTCTGTCCCATAATATAAATAGCATTTTTGACACTACGCTCGTATATGACAAATTTAATTATATGAAAAAATTGCGGGAAAAAACGACATGATTTGCCATCTCTTGCTAGGCAAACTTGCAAATGAAAATCACTTGCTTGCCATCCCCCTCCTAGATGACGTTCGCCAGTTATCATTACCGTTTACTATTTGGTTCCGAACCTTCGGAGAAATTTGGTTTGTTTACTTTGAAAATTCACACATTCGAGAACATGGTGAAAGCTCTACTATGTGTGTTCAAAGCAAACGCAAAATTGTAACAAACACCTCGGGTTTCAAATCCATCTAGACCTATTCCATCCTATAAACCTAGTCTAGATAGTTGATCCACACTTATCCAAATTCTCTCGGTATGCAATTACGATCAAGTCATCACGCCATTATACATGTATATAAAAACACACACCTTAACATGCATCCTGCTTGCTATTCATATTCAATGAATACCCTGCAACTAAACAATACTACTATGTAATAAATTATATGCGTTTTAGTTTTAATTTTGGATTATCCCAAATACTATTTTTTCATACAATTGAACCTATAGGTGTTGATAGCGCCCGCACAATAGCATTTTCTTTAAGCAACATGTGCAAAAAAAAGCCCGTTTTGAAGTGTCGTGTATTTATTAAGTAGAAAATAGTTTAATTTCAAACATGTTTGCTGTCACAACTTCAATCTTGTGCAATCAATTTGATATTGTTTCCCGCATTTTGTTTATGTTTGCGTAGTCAAACTCTCGTTTTCCTCCCCTAACCCTAGGTGCTAGGACGAACTCTTCCCTCCAGACTTCACTCACGAGTTCATGGATTCGCCTCACCTCTGCCTACCACTCCGGTGGCCGGTGGTGGGGAGGGGAATCCCGATGCCTTCGCTCTGTTTAGTAGTTTAGCTTAGAATTTTTTTTTGTCCTTGTGGTGAGGCGCTCGGGCGGACGGCCGTGCTTCTTCTTCGAGTTTGTCTTTCGAGCTCTGATCCTCCTCGAGTTCATCCGTCTGGATGTAGTCGACGGAGCTCCGGCATAGATTCCGTTGTCCCCTTGGGACGGTGAGATTAGGGTTTCTCGTCATGTGACAAGATCTCGTATCATGTGCTTCAGATCTATGCAAAGATTCAATAGCGATGACTGCGGCTCTAGGGCGTTGGTTGCCATCTACAAGGTCAAGCCGGCTCCGGTACGGGAGTGACGATTGCGACGCGCCGACGGCTCGTTCTGGCGGTAGTAGTGGTGGTTTAGTGGTCTCAGAATCTCGATCTAATTTTTATTATGTTTGAGATGCTTTGTATCTGATGTCAAACATGTTATTTATACACTAATTTCACACGGAGCCCCAAATATATAGTCATGTACTCCCTCCCTTCCTAAATATAAGTCTTTTTAGAGATTTCAATATGAACTACATACAAATGATATAGACATTTTTAGAGTGCAGATTCACTAATTTTATTCTGTAAGTAGTCCATATTGAAATTTTTAAAAAAATTATATTTAGGAACGGGGAGAGTAGTATATAGACACCGCCGACGTAGCACGATTGACGACATGTAGTCACTCCTTGGTGCAGACGGCAGCGGTGGCACGAGAAACTTCCTTCCCCATTTTTACCATGCACACCTTTTTGGTATCATGGGAAGCGGTGGCATGGGGCCTAGGCGACAGACTCGACTAGGCCCGCCCGGAGCTCCCGCTCATATTAGGCACGAGCGATGTTGTGGTCATCATCAAAAGACTAAGGCATAACAAAAAAAGCAGGGGCGTGGTACCCTTTCCTTCCGCTCAACAGAAAAACTGAGCGAAGAAAGGCAATCAAGACTAGTCGCTCGTGTCGCCCTTCCCGCGGGCGAAACCCTAGCACCCACACCAACCCCCCTCCCAGATCTCCCCTCCCTCGCCGCCGCCGGCAAGCGCCGCCGGGCAAAGTTCGCGCGGCGTCGGCGGCGGCGGGGCCTCCTTTTTTCCCTCTCGCAAGGTTAGGGTAGCACGGGGGCGTTCGGCCACGGGGAGGCGTGAGGGTGCTGCGCGTGCGGCGAGCAGGTGCCGGTGCCGGTGGTGCGAGCAGGCGCCGGTGGATGCGAGGGGCGCGGTGAGTTGTCGCCGGTGGGTGCGTTGCACGCGACGAGTGCGGCGCGCGTGTGGCGTGACGAGTAGGTGCCGGTGGGCGCGGGGCGCGCGGTGAGAAGGCGCCGGTGGGCGCGACGAGCGCGGCGCGCGCGATGAGTATGGCGCGCGGGGGGGGGGGGGGGGGGCGGCGTGCCGGTGCGGGCGCAGGATGCGAGCTTGGGCGCGTGTGTGCGAGCGCATGGGCGCGAGGAGCGGGTGGCTGGGGCAGTCCCTTCGCGAATCTGGCGCGTTTCGCGCGTCCTGTGGCCCGATCTGGCGTCCCAGTCGCCGGATCTCGTTGCCCGGGCTGCGCTGGTGGTGGCGGTGAGGTGGGGGTCGGCGGATGTTGGTGGGATCTCCTTTCAAGCATGTTCACGCCCATCTCTTGGAGTAGCGGCGCCGTACAGCGGCTGTGGTGCAGAGGAGGTTTTCAGTCACACCAGTTCCGGCTCGGCGGGTCGTGTCCTGCGCGCGGCGGTGCAGAGACGGTCAATTTGATTTGGTGTTCGTCCAGTCACGGCGCGCGGCAGTGCAGGCCGACCAGCTCCGATTCTAACTTAGCTC